TCCCCTGAAACCACCAACCAGCCTGAACAGCAACAGAGAGCTGCAGGTCCAGGTACATTTACAGCATTGGAAAGGCTCCTAATTATCTGAACTAAACTGTAGACTTTATAAATGTGCAATGCTTTTTCACGCATAAATGTTGACCAATTTTACTTGACTGGTAACCACAACCACATTGCCATTTTTCTGATTTTTGTGTATGTTTCTTAGCAGATATCTAGCTAGGAAGATAACATCCACAATGTTAATTCCACATTCACCCATCCCACCAAATTAGCTCTGGTTCTTCAACAGGTTCTGTTTAACAATCTTAAAACCTTGGTGCTATCTAACGAACCAGCCCACCTTTTTCACCAGTTTTGAACAGAACCACTGTTTTCAAGGATTCATCATCAACAGTGGGTGTAGAATATGGTGTGTCGCTTTGTTTCCTAAGTAAAACCTGCTATAGTTCCAGCTGGGGACCAACTTTTCAGGTTCCAAACTAATTTAATATTTATATTAGGTTGAAATGCTCCGAACGGTTCAAATTATAGGTGTGTGAACAGAAACAGAGCCAGTTCCCTGTTGGTGGAAAGAGCCTAATAGATTCTGGTTATAGTCGTACGGAGAAGCTAAATGGCTTCCAGTTATGGAGGCTCCCAGATACATTTTATAATGAACTAAGAAGTTAATCAACAAACTGGTTCTACTGTTCAAACAACCACAGGTGCGCTGCTGTATGTGCATTTGCTACTGGTCATCAAGATCATCGTATTATCGGCGGCTGTGCTGCTTTTCTGCAGAGAGAGGGCCAGTAAACCCAAAGGTGAGACTACAGGAAACATAACAAAGGCAACTGAACATAAAAAACATAATCATTCCTCACACAAAACATAGATCAGGAGTGCCATTCCAGCAAGCATAGGAGGTGTAGATGGACAATGACATCCAATGTGCCAGTTTCTATTCATTTTCATACTGACCAAAATGCATGAGGAAAAAGTGCATGAAAAAATATTCAAATTACCTATTTCAGTATCTACTTATTTCAATGACGTTCTTATTGTTTCCTTGTGTCGAGAAAAACTACTATTCACAATTTGCCTAATTCTTACAGTTCTTCAGACACAGTGGGAACACGAACAGGGATGTTTAGTTCCTGTTAATTCCTGAACGTTCTGGTGGAAATGTGCTGTATGGGTCTCTTTGACTAAGCCAGATGTTTTAACAGAGGACCTAATCTTCTGAACCACGTTTTTCAGAATCTCCTGTGGAAACGGAGTATGTTATAGTCACAGAGGTGAGCTTGAGTAATGTTATTACTTTTTGTTATTTACTATAACTTTGTCAGTGCTATTAGTGTTTGTGAAACCAGCTGATCTGAACACAAACCAAACTCCTGTTCTCTTCCTGCAGGAGGACAGACAGAGCAGATCTCCTCCTGCAGAAATATCTACAGTTTACACTTTCCACCGCAGACAGTTCTCAGGACAACGTGAGTTAAAACTGGGTAGAATAAAAGGTCCAGTGTGTAAGATTTAGGGGGTTTATTTACAGAATATGGTTGAAATTGAATATACCATGAATAACTATATATATAGTGTATAATCACTTGAGATTCACTGGGATTAAACATTGTCCCGCTGTAGCATTTACAGCCTTTAATTTCTGCAGGGGAAATTCCATCACCAGAACACTAGATGGCACTACATTCTACACAGGGTTCAGAAAACAGTATCTTTAGATTTCACTCACTAAAATAATTTGACTACCTTTGTGTACAGCAGAGGAAATATGTTTTACAGTGGCAGTATAGAGAGAAGTCTGTGGACATGTTTTCAAAAATAGAGTTTTACATGAGCTTTACGTCAGTCTGTTTCTAAGTAACGTGCTGTGTTTTTAAGAAACAGGAACCAGGTCAGTTTGTGATCATATTTAAAGCTACAAGTTTCCGCTGTTTTGAGGAGGAAGTCGTCGGACTTCATCTTTCAGTGTGAGCAGAGAGAGGGAGGAAAACATGCTGCACTGAAGTATAGATATTCCGTTAGATATTAAATAATACATTTGGAGATAAAACCCTGTTTACAGTTCACATTAAGCAGTGCACATGCTGAAATGATGCTTAAACAACAAACCTGCCTCAGTATACAGAATCCCTAGAGCTGCAACAATTAGTTAATTAATCAACAACAATTAAATTAATTGCCAACTGATTTGATAATTGATTCCTCCTTTTTGAGTCATTTTGTAAGAAAAAGAAATTCTAAATCCTCTGACTTCAGCTTCTCAAAGTGATGTTAAACAAAAGGAACACAGAAGAATAACATAAACTTTGTAGATTATGTACATAGGAAGGACTAAATCAGTCACTGATAACCTTTGACCTCTGTTTGTTTTGTTTCAGACTTCCAGTAAACTCACCTACTCTGAGGTGGATTTCTCCAACGGTGCAGCTGCCTCGCTCCACAGCGCCCCCTGTGGTGATGCAGATACTGTTGTCTACTCTTTGCCCTTTGCTAGGAAAAAAGAAAAATAGGTTTTGAAATGCATTTTTAAGGCATGTCTGTCATCTGTCTGAACTCACAGGATTCAACATTTGTACTGTGGGATGTTTTCTTCAGTAGAAAATAAAAATGTCTTCCCTCCAAAAGAGGTAAGACGTCATGTAATTTGCTTTTATTGAAGCCAAAAAGCTCCTTTTGTAAAAACAAATAAAAATTATTCTTGAAATAGGCTGTGTTTTATTGAAAACATTTATAGAACTTAATAACGGACAAAATTGACAGTGAAAGGAGTTTTCCAGCACACTGTTTTTTGACTCACTGTGGAACAAAGACTAATGAATAAGGAAGACACGTTGGGTAAGGGTGTTGCTTGGAGGAGGGACTCCATCATTTAGAGAAGTGAAAAGTTCCTAATTTTTCAGTAAAGACCGAAGAGAGGCAGCGATAAACCCTCAGAGCCCCCAACATGAAAGTCTGTCACACTTTGATCTACGTCGTCTTCCTCTGTGAGTACACTCTCCTTCTGTCTCTATCATTTCCTCTCTTTATTATGTGATTTGTCTTTGGTTTTATAGTGGAGAGCTTTCTGCAGTTTTAATAGAGGACTGTCCAACATGATTTTAGTTTCTGTGGTTAAACTTGATGTTCAGAGTCCAGTATGAGTTTAGTTAAAATGTACTGATACTAAGTGACCTCAATCTCTAAAGACATTTTTTTTGTGACCAACAATCTGCAATCAACGACTGTTCTGCTGTACTTGTTTTATAGTTTAATTGTTGCTTTTTGTTGTATTTAGACTGTTGCAGTTGTAAAGATTAAAGAGAAAGATTACATTTTATTACAGAGTAATAGAGAAATATGTGACTTTTAGCCAAAGTAAATCATAGTAACATTTTCACAACTGCAAGTTTTTAAACAGCCATCCCAGTAAGTGCTCAGTCTCTTTGGTAGGAGCTCGAGACAAGCACTGGAGCATCCATGTGATGAGCGCCTATACCGTGAATATGTTATGTACAACAAGTCCAAAAACTTGTTGCACATGCCGAGAGTCAATCAACAATAATTAACAAGGATATTTTAACATGAGAGATGGAAATGTGTTTCAATTAACAAAAAAGAAAACAAAGAAAGAATCAAATAATCAATAACATACAATCAAACCAAAACTCACTTTCTAGCATTTTAAGGATCTTTTAACTGCAGCTCACACTTTCTCAGCAGATGGTTTGTTTAGTAATGCAAATGGTTCAGTAAACGATGTAAATGATGTGTTTGACTGCAGGATCATACAGGAAGATAGTTACTATTGATTGTTCATCTTTCCAACAGCACTGTGGGATGAAAACACTGCCTGCTTCGTTGGTGGCTTCGTTGGTGACACCGTCGTCTATACAAGAACTGAAGGAGGAAACATCAGAGCTGAGTGTCATTTTGATTTCTCTTTGTCTGGAAGACATAAGATTTTTTGTAAGGGAGAATGTGAAGGAAAAGACATTCTCATTGAAACAGATGAGGACAGAGCTCAGAGTGGCAGATACAGCATTGAATATGAACACTTAAATCCTCTACCATCCTTTGGATGTGAGCCAATTTCTCAAAACCTGACTAAATCTGAAGCCTCGGGGTGGTACAAATGTAAGGTTGGACAGATCTACAGATTCATTCCAAAAGTTTTGGACTCAGAGTTGAAGATGGTGAGTTTCTACTGCAGTAGTCAATGAAATGATGTGTTCAATGACAGCGTTGCGTGATGTTTCTATAACCCAACATGTTTAGTCTAACAAATTATAAATTGGAGCCCCTGCATATTTCCGTCCATTGTGAACAACCTGATAAATGCTCCTTTAAAGCAACAGTTCATCTGTAAAATATCTGAAATTTTGGTTTCACAGCTCCATACTGCTTCAAAACCAAAAAGGAAATTCCCACCACCTAAAGCACCTTTTTTACACCA